TTTTTTTTTTTGGGGGGGGGGAGGAAGCGCTCTTGGAGTTTCCTCAAGTTTTCTCAAACAAACGTGTCCTCCAGCATTATTGACTACAAGATGATATCAGTGATTTGGCTGTGAATATTTAATGGGCTTGCTGAGTAATGCAAGCAGAGCTCTAAGAGAATTAACTTGGCTTCTTTACTCAAAAAGTCGCAGGTATATTGACGGGGGGGGGGCGGTTGCTGAATCTAACAGGACCATGCAATCCTGAAAATTGAATTTAGTGCTTTGGAAAGTTTTACTGTCCTTCCTGTTGCCTTGCAGATTGCTCCATGTAAGTTATTGCGCTGGCTCAATGTAAGCCTGAGGAAATATGCCTGAAGGCGGCCAAGAAGTTGTTTGAGGGAGTTTTCAAACTACCTCGGGAATATTCTGCAATAATCACTCCTCTGCACACATACTTTTTAAATTACAAACAAGCAGTTGTGGTTATCAGGGGAGATTGGGCAATGATGTCGACTCTGAGAATGGAGCTTTTACGAGTAGGTGAACTTCGCTGCTTGTTTTGCTTTCTTTCTGCCTTGTTTTGTTTTAATGGGACAACTTCCCGCTTGATTTCGTAAGGCAAAGAGCAGCTTGGTGAACAGAGATTGTCTGAACCAGAACAGGTTTTGTGGTCCAGGTTTTTCACACGCTGGTTTTGAAGTTCAGAGATGAAAGGGACAGAGTAGAATCTGTGGCTGATCAAAGTCATACAGAAAACACGGCAGGTGCTGAATATTTAAAGGCTCAGCGAGTAGAGTCCCTGTGTGTGTGTGTGTGTGTGTGTGTGTGCATGTGTGTGGGAAACATACAGCATGTATATGTGTTTATGGTCTGAGCTGTGTGAGCAGTGAGTATGAAGACATTCAAAGTAACATTGCCGAACTGATTTGACAGGCAGGGGAATAGACACATCAGAGCCATCTGCATTTTTTAAACCACAGCTCGGATTACAAAAGACAGTCCCTCACGTTTCATCTTTCTCTTCTCCCAAATATCTTCACTCGGCGGGTCATGTGCAGCAGCTTAGGGGATATTCCAAAAAAGCTTGAGCCTCAATCTGCCGGACAGCTCCAGCCTGTCCCCGTGAGCGCTGACGTCACAGGATGGCGGGTTTACCCAGCGGCCAGACCATGATGACCGGTGACCCGAGCTGATTACATTATTTGTGCTCCAGATGGGCAGCATCATTTTGATGTGTCCTGCTCATAATATTGAATGTTTCTAGTCCTCCCTTTAGTGGCATCTGGAGCTAATAAAACCACGTCTCAGTGGCCGCTGTCTGTGCTGAAGCGGACCCCATCCCCTATGGGAATGTCTGCGGCCTCCTCTACTCTCCGCGTGTGTGTGTGTGTGCTGAGATACTTGTGGACATTTGTTGAGCCTGCATGCACAGCGAGTGGCTATAATGTGTGTTTGTGTGTGTGTGTGTGTGTGTGTGTGTGTGTGCTTCGTTTACGAATGTTTGAAGTCAGTGGCAGAGAGCACCCCTGGGCATTGTAGTTCAGTAGATGCACCTTGATTGTTTGAGTGCATTAGTCACGGTCTGTATGATGCGATAATAAATCATGACGTTGTTTGTACTGCGAGGGCTCTGGGATTCCTCCTAAGATTTTCTTGTGCCAAGTGTTTATCTGGAGTTGCTACTTCAAGTGCCAGCCAACTGGGCTTTTCTCTTTTCTTTTCTTTTTCGTTTCTTTTTGTTTCTTTTCTTCTCTGTCTCCAGAACAGTGCCCCCTGCTGTACAGGACAAACGTGTTAAGCCACTTCACGAAGAATGGCAGATTTGATTTTTCCTCCCCCTGCTGTGACACTGTCTTTTATTTCTTGAGGCTTCTTGTGACCATTAGAGAAAATTTCCTGCAGGCACAATGGCAACTTAATAACTGCTCCTTACTAATGAGACAGATTCCCTTCAGAGACGCCTATTTACGGAGCAGTCACAACCGTAATTGCACAGAAACCAAAATAAGGATAGACGTATTTCTCAGCCACAAACACGTACAGAAAGAAAATGTGATGTCTCTTCATAGTTAAATGTACTATTGGCAGGGGCTGGTGTCACCTTCTGTCTGAAGGTCAACCCTAGATTGAATTTGCTATGACTAAAAAAGACGCTAGAATTAGATGGGACACGGTTAAGCCACGGCGAGGCTGTTTCTCGACAGGTTTCAGCAAAAGGGATTTGAGAGCTGGACGGTGGCCAGGAGAGTAGAACGTCACTATAGAATCTGCCTAAATCCCCAAAAAGGCCTGTTTTGCTCTGTGTGCTGAGAAGATAAATACACATGGATCAGACAATTTACACCTCACTTAACAATAGGTAATTATCTCTCCCTGCTTTGTGCAGGAGACACCAATGGCACCAATTACACAGAAATATACATATAAATCTATTCTCAAAGTGGTTGGATAGAGATATGATGTGTGTGTGGTGTGTATGAACAGTGCTGGATGAAGCTGATAGTATACAGTGCATGGCTTAAGAGCTTGTGATAAGAGAAGAGTCCAGCTTTATACAGTATGGCACACTAGGACGGATGTGACTATGAAATCACTTAGATTCATGTCTTTGGGGTGGGAGACAGAGTAAATTGCTGCCAATGTTGAATAATGCAGTCTGCCAACAGCCTTTTTTTCCTCCCTCTTCCCCCTCAAACTGTGGCTTGGCTCCACAGCTTTTCTAATTATGAAGTGGCTGAGAGATAGCTTCACAACTCCGATACTCTGGTGGTGGTGAGCGGAAGCTGGCCGAATAGCAATCTAACTGAATTACCAACAAAGCCTGACAGACTTGTGGAGTTTAGTGAACATATTTGCAAAAGTAACATCCCCACCTACCTATTCAGTCACGAAGTGTGGAGACATAGACGCAGACGCCCAGGCCAACACACATTTTGAAGCAGGCGCACACACACCAACACACACAAACACACACAGGCACAAACGCAGGCAAACAAACACAGTACAAAGAGGGAAGGTGTACAGTTCTCCGCACGCTTCTCAGCACAATTTAACAAGATATATTAGTCACCCAGGAGGCAGCAGAAAGCGAGGCATCCACAGTGTACAGCAGACTGCAGTCTGACAGTGGGAGATAGTGATTTACAACAAAGCCCTGTAGACCATGGCACAATTTCAGAGTTGCCGAAATGACACTGGTAAAGCAGGGGCATGAAAGTATATCCACCAGCCACGTCTCATTTCTTACACCATTTGCCCCGGGAAGGGGAGGGTGGAGAAGGAAGGGGCAGATGACAAATCCAGTATTGTAGCTACCACACAATGTCGAGTTGAGCCTCGGAGTCGAATTCTGTTTGGATGCCATCGAAAATATGAGCAAAAACTAGAGGGAAGCCTTCAAGGACACTGAACATTCCTTCTTTCTTAAATTCGAGGTGAAATCGATTCCTTGACCCTGTGAGTGTACCGTTAGGGTTTGGATTGGATTTGGAATTAAATCTCTATATCCAATATGTGGGTGGAAAAACAATAATCATCTAATAGTGGAAATCACAGATCCAGATCACTATCAAAATCTAATCAAGTGTTCCTTGGCTCGAGGCTGATCTCACCACCAAATTTCATGGAAATTAGTTCATTTTTCTGACACCCTGCTGACATACAGATTAACTCACACAGGTGACAATACAACTTCCTTGGCAGAGGTAAAAATGTACCCACTGATATACGTTTTGAATAAAATGAAGAATGAACTTCATTCATAAATAATATGACCTTTTTGTCAAATTACATCTTAAGAACATCTTGCTCACATCGTTTTTATGCCTTGTGGGGGGAGTGTCAAAACTTTGTATGTATGTAAAATGAAAACAAAAAGTGGAATTTAACTATACTATCGTGAGAAAAATGTATGTATGTATGTTTCAGCCCTACCTTAAGGTAACTGGTGCAGGAGAAAGAGTGTGAGTGAGTGCAGCAGACAGATCATGTCCGCAGGTCCTGCCTTTCCCCTCTAGTTGGATTCCTGTCTGTGCAAAGCCCAGAGGCTTAACTCTGGCTGCAGTAAGTGGACTGAGGAACGCTAAACACTGTCTGGGGGAAGGCTGCTGAACATGACAGCCAGTTAATAAGTGTATGGCAGACGAGCAAGTGTATGAAGGAGT